GTTAATTGCCTTACCTGTTCGGGTACTCACCAGTCAGAATCGAGAGATACGTGACAGCTGTCAATCAAATTAACTTTATTGTGTTAATTGTCAATGTATCCAGGGACAGTATATACTATACGTCCCTGATGTATCACTGTCCTACATGTGTTGTAATCAGTTGGGAGCTAGGACTCGGACCGTACGGTTTTTTTTTTTTAATTTCCAAATGCAACAGATAGCATACAGGAGTTACACTATACATGTACATACAAGTAGATATTACAATCCATTTATGTAAGATTGCGGAGAACATAGAGTAAGATAAAAGATGGCATCATAGCAATGTTGACAACATACAAAAGAAAATATATAATGTATATAATCATTGTCAGTGGCACAAAGCTGGAACATACACGATTGCTCAGATATTAAGTATAGACTTTCTTTAAGAAGTAGCATGGGTTAGGTACTTACTAAGGTTTCTTAATTGTTTTACATTTTTGCAGGCGAATAATTGTATTAATTTATAGACGGACGGACGACGTAAATAAAAGGGTTAAATATATTTGGTTCTGAGCTCCGAGTTAACTGGACACAACAAAATCAAATGGGTTTCATCCTCTTGCAAAGCAGACACCGCCGTTGAGCTCTAGGTATACCATTATACCTGCCTGTTTCTATACTTAGTGTATGAGATTGTAACCTATACTTACTGAGGATATGTTTACACTTATAAGTTAGTGACTTGGTGAGGTAAAACTGCATATCGTAATGATCAACGATATATTTATTTCTAACATGCTTCTCACTTCTTGGATAAAAGTATCTTGCACACGTTGGGTGTATACAAATACGAAATGTTTTCATTAGAAACACACTAAGCAAACCAATTATCATGAAAGCCAATTCTACTTAATTCATGCTTGACTTGATATACAAAATTAGTTTTACAATATATGATCTGCGGTTCAGTACCCAGTCATACAGCAAGCTTTTATTAAAAGTTCAATAGTCAAATAAAACCAGTAATACCACAGCATGAATTGAAATAGGCCGTTTATTATAAAAACGACGTAAAGTAAAATCATGTATACACAACATGTAAAACATGCCACATCATACTGATCTGAATGCATATAGGCATTATGCCATATGTTTTGTTTTTTTAAGATTTAAATCGACATTAAGCTCATCGTAACAAGATCTCAAAATACAATTGTTAGCTTTCAATCATTTTAACCAGTACTTTATAATGGATATTTTACGCTTTATCTGTAAAGGAAATCGACCTAACTCAAAGTAAACCATAGCATTATTTACAGACTTTTTTTACTTCAAGAACTTCTTTCAGGAAATGCAAATAAACTTTTTCAATTTGTGTTGCAGGACAGAATCCCCAGACTTCACAAGCATAGTTAAGTAAACAAGTGATATAAGTGTCGGATAATGACAACTTAGTTTCACAGTTTAACATAAAATTCCTAAAATTCCTTTCCAATAAAAAACAAGCTTTTCTACCCTTGGCAGCAATGTTATCCAATGCTAAAGTAAATATGCCATTATAATTGAATACTAGCTCCAGATAACAAAAATTGTCTACTATTTCAATAGGCCTACCATTGTATGTCCATTGCTCATTAGGGAAAACACGGGTTTTTTTCTTCTGAATATTAAATTCCAGCGTTCAGCATAGGAATGCAAGAGGTCAAGCATATTTTGCAGATCGACTACGTCCTCGGAAAACAAAACCGTGTCGTCCGCATACAGTATAATAAAAATATTGATCAACTGTAACTGATAACTCTGACAATTTGAGTTAATAATATTAGTTCTGACTCCATGTCATAATAATGAAAATAAAATCGGGGATAAAGATTCCCCTTGTAATAAACCGATCTGGAGGTCGTACGTGGGAGACAATTTACCATTTAATTTGACGTAAGATTTGACATTATCATAAATAGATCATATTCCTGGGATGCAGAGAGCGAAAGTGAGCGTAACCCCTGGATATCGAGGATGACTATGCACAGAACACGTCATATCAAACAGGCTGGAAGCCATTCACCGCAGTTCTAGACGCATTTGTCATATCGTCTTCAGATTTTACAAGCTCGTATGTAAAAACTGTCAACCATTCCGTCTTTTCGTATAAAGGTATGAACTTCAATCAACAGATCTCTACACACAATCATCGGTTTGTTATCCATCATAAAGAACTTCCAAGCACAGGAACTTTGGAATCTGTTACAGCTATTTCGTCTTTGCGTATTGCAGAGTTATCTTCTCTTGTGAGCAGGTATTGATTGTTAAGTCATTGGTTTGTGTGAGAAAATGACGTCGTTTTCTCAAAAATTGATGACGTTTTTCTCACAAACCAATGACGTAACAATCAATACGTGCTAACAAGAGAAGATAACTCTGCAATACGCAAAGACGGAATAGTTGGACCTAAACTGATCATTGAGGGTGACATTTTTACTGAAAGTTGATCTTATCTCATTAAACATGTAAACTTACCCTGAACGCTTTAGCTTATAGGTCCAAATATAACTGTAAGAAATTATCAGGTCCCTGTACTTCCAAGTTCAACTTTTTGAGTCAAAAGACTTTAATTAGTTCAGTCTCCCAACCCCCATCCCCTAAAAGAAAAAGGGGAAAAAACGATAAATACATGTTTCCCCTTCATGTGTCGTCGTGCCAACTAGAACTGTTAAATATCGTGATAGTGAAGATGACGAGGGCGCATCCTCGAAATCCAGGGGTTACGCTCACTTTCGCTCTCTACACCCCTGGAATATGTCATAGCAAAAATTGAAGGCACGAAGATAGCTGCTGGATTGGTCTCAGATAAAAAAAAAAACACACTTGACCAATCGCTAGGCTGATACATGCCTTTGAAGATAACAAATTATGGAGAAACGCCCGACTTCAAAGCCTGTCAAATTTTACCGTTTCGTGACCGCGAGATTCTTTTGATGCACATCAAAGGATCGAACTAGTCTTCTTGTCTCATCAACAAGGTCGCGCACACCGAGCCTTCAGTTTTGCTATGACATATGCCGGGGGTGTAGAGAGCGAAAGTGAGCGTAAACCCTGGATATCGAGGATGACGAGGGCGTGGCTATCGTGCATGGTTTGTGACAAATTACGCCTTTCAGCAAAAGCTACTATGGCTCCGCCTCTGTATGAGAGCTCCCGAGTAATAATCCCGTTACAATAAGAACAACATATATTTATGTTATATTGTGTGGTATCAGTTTTACTGGAAGGTTTGTTACCCTTAAGAAATTATGTTGATTACAGACCGGAAGTAGTGAGATTTGCCATGGAGATATGTACACAGCTGCTGTATGCATTTCCTGTGGCCAATCACGGGATCATTATATAGCCTGTTGTACTGTTTGTGTTTGTTTGAAGTTTACTGTCTTCACACCAGTTAGATTTTAGGTGTAAAGACATCAGCAAGAATATCATTGTCTTAAAAATAAACTTTATTTATTTTACAACAATTATGNGGGGGGGGGGGGGGGGGGGGGGGGGGGGGTTCTAAGTGAGGAAGGAAACCGAAGTACCCGGACAAAACCCGCGTGTTCGGGCAGGTGACCCGAAACCTTTTCACGTCCGATCGGGGAAGAAAAAAACACTCAATCATATATGTATAGCCATCATCAGCTGTCTTCTATTTGAAATAGGACATAGCCATAGTCACCATACGTATTTTGATATTTAAAAGTCAGATGCAAATGCCCGTAGCTGTAGCCTAATCTGATTACATGTATGTTTCAAATTCAAGATCGAGTGTAGATTATGATACTGAATTTTTCGGTCTATTTAAGGTTGGAAAGTAATTAAGTAACATATAAACACATAGTGAACAATAAGTGTCGGGGAAACCCTGATAGTCTTTCGTAGGGTTAAGTCGGGCAATGCCACATCTGATATTTTTGGTTTTATCAAATATTTACAACTTTGAGCACTTAGCAGTTTAATTGGCTGGGCGGAACATTCATGCAAATTTGGCGAAAAAAATCAATTGTAAAATTTCTAAAATTATTAATGTATGACAGATGGTATCTGTCTCCAAAGCAACAGATAGTATAAAAAAAACCCATATCGGGCCATGTGGTTGTTTTTTTCTCCATGCAACGGACACGTGTTACTCAATTCGCTGTTCACAACTTTCTGCATGTTCAAATATGTTCATCACATCCATAAAACACCTTAAGCTTCCTCCTGTTCGTTCCGTGCTTTGTGGTATTTCCGTTTCTCCTAGTCCGTCGTGTACTAGAATCTGTTAGTCACCAATGTATTGCTGAGTATGCATGAATATTGTTATGTTTTCCTGTTCCGAAAGAGATGTATCTCCAAATAAAAGTAGATTTAAATTAAGAGGCATGTATTCATTCAGTTCACAATAACGCTTAATTCTTTGTTCGTTATATTCATCACAGGTAAAAAAGAAATGGTGTGTGTCTTCAATAGCATTCTTTATGATGACATCATAATTTTGTGTCGTGTCCGAACTCCCCAAGGCGGGGTACGTTTGGTCATCCAATCAAAGACGTTATACTACTAAATGGCTTTTTTAAATATGTCTCTGATCCAATCTTCCGACAGACAATTTAAGTGATAATTCTTCAAATATGGACGTGTTTGCCATTTTACTAAAATAAAATGGGCCGATCAAACCGCTGACTTATATCCCCGTGCTTTAACTTTTAAATAAGTTTAATATTAAGCCCATGGGGAGCCCCATAAACAGTCGTTTAAACACCACATATACACATATATATAATATGTATACATGTATAATTGTTACGAACGTGTATGTACGCGTACTGTAAGTAATTATAAATAAAATTTGTTTTTTAAAGTAGGTGACAAGGTACCAATCGGAAACCGTCGACGGAAAGTGTCGACTGTTCCCGATTGACAACGTTCAGTATCAACTTAACCCCCATAGGTCATGAACGAGATGATCTGTGAACTTTGACCCTTGATCTACATGCGGTAAAACTAGCGTGACGTTCCAGCAGTCAGGCAAAAAAATGGCTTGGCGAGGACCGTCGCGTTTATTAGAGGGAGTGTCCGATTCTATCGGCGTACCCTTGATGCAGGTAAGTTGCAAAGAATAGATCTGACGAGACAGGGGTGTTTTACAAGTGAAAACACAATAGCTATGTACAACTTCCGTAGCCTCGTAACGACTGACATGTTCAAAACAAAGTTATAGTTACTGGGTGCGACGGTCTGTTACAATCGCCAGGTATTGTAAAATACAAACATTCTGGTTGTCATACGAGTTTGAAAATCTTTTATTTAGACAATGTTATCTTTTCAACTTTGTTAATTTTGTTTATTTAACACGTATATGTTATTTATATGTGTACGTCGTCAAACATCTTGTTTGTATATATATGTACACACATTCCTGTACATATGTGTAACAGTTATATGCCATTTACTGATTTAGTCATCATTCACTCTATATATGAGCCCAGACCTGCAACTGATTCACTATTGGTTTAAACTGCTATTTTATTTATAATAAACACTAGAAGCTAACGGAAATATTTTGTGAGGAAGTAGATTCTTGAAAACCAACTTAAGTGTTTAAATAAAAATCACTTCATGCACAGTTTCTCGATATAATCACAGCTAAGCATTACCGGCAGTCAGCCACGCTAAGCAACGCCAGGCAGATATTAATATTGTAACAGCTTGGTATTGAATATTTACTGAATAAACTTGATACAATCTTAGTAGAGTACTACAACAGGTGGTTGTAAGGAGGGGGAGTGGATGTCCTCTATATACGCCTTATACGTACAAAGCTATCACAACACAACACCTAAATAGCTGCTCGACCGATAGTACGGACGGAGTCAGCATTTATTCATAAATATAATATGAATATAATGAATATGCATTAACAAAATATAACTACTCTTGACTTCATTTACCGTACACAAAAACAATCCTCCCACCTATACCCTCGCATGGTTCATCGCCCTACAAATGTAAAACCAAGCGCGCCACCCAACCTGAACACCTTATTAGGCGCGACAGGATGTGTACCAGCCCGACAATGCTTAAGTTTTTTTTACAAAATTGATGCTGGGATTTCTTAATTAAATAGGACAATGCCCTGTTACATCTGTTACATAAACATAAAATTCTGCTATAATTTTATTTCAAACTGTACTACGCCGTGCAAGGTGGGAAGCTAGAATGAACATTTACGTACCCATAAAATACCCTTAGCATGTGCCTCAACCTGATTGGTCAAAACCTCTCCACGAGACAGGCAACTGCCCTTGTATACTCCGTGTATACAGGACAAATATTTCCCGCTATTCTCCGAAAAGCAGGAAAGTCATAGTATCCATATTAGTGTGTGTAGAGGGAGGGGTACAGAAGAGGGGGAGTGGAAATATCCATATTAGTGTGTGTAGGGGGGTACAGAAGAGGGGGAGTGGAAATATCCATACTAGTGTGTGTAGGGG